ATGAGTTTGTAGGCAGCCACAAGATCACCTCTCAGCCTCCTCTTGCGGAGGCTGAAGAGGTTCAGGTCTCCCTATCGGTCCACATAGGGGCTTTTCTGTAGGCTTTTAACCAGACGAATGGCTCTCCTCTGAACCCTCTCCAGGCCATCCACATCCCTTCTGAAGTGCGGTGTCCAAAACTGGATGCCGTAGTCCAGCTGTGGCCTGCCAGCTTCAGCTTGACCAATGCCACATAAAGGAGAAGTATCACCTCCCTAGACCTGTTTGTGATGCACCTACTTATGCAAGAAAGGGTGCAGTTAGCTTTACTTATTACCTCATCACGCCGGTGACTCACATTTATTTTGGAGTTGACTACTACTCTAAGATCCTTTTCCGCAGTTGTGCTACTTAAAATGGTCCCTTCCAGGCTGTAGGAGTGTTGATGATTCTTCCTCCCCAGGTGCAACACGTGACACTTATCCTTGTTAAACTGCATCCTATTCTGTTCGGCTTATTTCTCCAGCCTGTCCAAATCAGGCTGGATTCACTCCCTGCCATCTAGTTTGTGTACCCCCATAGCTTGTTGTCAGCAAAGTTGGACAGGGTGCTTTCTACACCCTCATCTAAGTTGCTAATGAAGATATTGAATAGTACTGGTCCCAGGACAGCCTTGGGGGACTCCGCTGCCTACATCTCTCCAGGTGGAAACCAACCCGTCCACCACCACTCTCTGGGTGCATCCCATAAACCAACTTTCTACCCACCAGACTGTGTAATAATCTACAGTGCAACAGTTTAGTTTATGAGAATTGCGTATGACACTGTGTCAAAGGCCTTTTTAAATCTAAGTAAATACCATCTACCTCTATTCCTTCATCCAAGCATTTTGTGACCCAGTCATAAAATGAAACCAGGTTAGTCAGGCAGGTTCTACCTACTGTGAACCATGCTGATTGCCCCTTAACATTATTTTACCCACTGGGCCCCCACAAATGTGGTGGTGTTTGCGTGGCTGAGTAAACCAGCTTGAGTTTCCCCAGTCCTTGTGTGTTTTCCCCCTCCCCCATGTTCTCAAAGCATAGCCCTCTTGGTTTCTTTCCTGTGGGGCTGTAGCTCAATAAGCTTCAGCCCCCTTCATCCCTACCCCCCTTCTCCCCCACACCCCCAGCCTGCCCCTACTAGATTCACCAGCCCCATTGGATATTTTTTCTTTAGCGTCTTTCCTGCCCTCATGTGAAACAATGGCAGGGCAGGAAACTTCTACAGGGGGGCAGATGCCTGCAACCTCTGCTACAGGGCCAGGCCCCGCTAGAGGAGTTCCCAAGCCCCCTCTCCCATCATCAGGGACCAAGGGCAGTGGGAAGGGCTCTTCTTCAGCTTCCTCCAAAGCTGGGGGTAGGAAGGGCAAGGGCCTTACCCCCAAGCCTAGACCACTAGCACCTGAGGGGACCAGGTGTGCTACCCCAGCCAGCACACCCACTCAGCCTGTCCCTGGCCCCACCAACGTAGTCCCAAGGGCCCTGACTACTGCTGCTACAGTCAATGAGTGCAAGCTGTGCTAGGGGGGTCAGGGCAGCAGGAAGCAATCAGGAAGCAGGGTGGGGAGTCATCGGGGAGTTAGGGAAGCCAGTGGGGACCTGAGAGAGTGATGGGGGAGCTGGAGAAGCAAGCGAGGGGCTGGGCAGGACCCCACCCTATATTCCCCCTCCCCTCCTCCAGCCCCCCCTCACCCTCTACTTACCTGTCAGGAACCTGGGTCCAGGTCCCTGCAGCTTGCACCACTGCTTGTCCCACATGGGCAGGCAGCACGCATCAGCACCAGGGCAAAGGCCAGCCATAGAGATGCTCTGGCTAGCTACCAGAGTGTCTCTGTGGAAGACAGTCTCTGGTTGCCTCAGGGCATGGTCCAGGACTACTCTGCCCTGCTTTTTTCCCCCTTTTTAGGGTAGCACCTTAAAGACTAAACTTGTTCAGAAAGGCATAAGCTCCAGATTTGCAGCACAGGAAATGGTTTTTGTTCCCAGTGTTTGTTGCAGCATCTTGAAGGACTTTGAGACTCTGCAAGAGGCACATCCACGCTCATCTGGATGCACCCTTAAGAACCATACTAGCCATCCCTGAAAGCATTGCATACAGTCATATGCTCTATACATCAATGCCATATTGTTCTGGGTAGAGGTTAACCCCATGTATAAAGTGATTGATTTTATGGGGTTTTTGTGGGGGTAGGGTCATCTTGTAACAGAAGTTATATCACACTTAACCGCTATACATATTTAGTATGGTCTAA